GAGCTCCTATAGGGCGCCTTATGCGCCGGTTGAAGCTACGGGCGCTCGCTGCTGCACCCAGGTGGGCCGGCCCACGAACACGCAACACTCGCAAAAAACAAAACCAGAAACTTTTGGTCCTGCTGCGGAATCGAACGCGTGAACTGACCTCTAGTACCTGGTTGGCTAACCACTAGACCAACTAGTCACTTGTGTAATGTAGTAGCGCGACAATGCAAAAGTACAACGAACTTTACCCACGCTATTTATTGCACACGCATTGCCAGGTACTTTTTGACTTATTTGAAACAAGTTAGAAAACGTGATATCTTTTGAAAAATACGTGAACAAATTTCGGCAGTCCACAGATTTAAAACATAATCGTGAATTAGAAAAGTTCATGTATTCAAAAAAGTTCACGAATTCACAAAAACTTCATTAAAAAATTGAAAAAAGTTCATCGATTTTGAAAATAGTTCATTGGTTCTCAAAAAAAGTTCATCAATTTTGAAAATAGTTCATCGGTTCTCAAAAAAAGTTCATCGATTTTGAAAAAAAGTTCTTCGATTTCAAAAAGAGTTCACCGATTACAAAAAGAAGTTCATTGATTTTCAAAAAGGTTCACAAAAATCTGAAAAAGTTCATCAAATTCGAAAATAGTTCATCGAATTTGAAAAAAGTCCATTGATCGCCGCAGAAGTAGGGATAATAGCACCAGAGATAATATTGTTTCCATAAAGTAAAGAACCAGAAACAGGCTCACGAATACCATCAATATCTACCACGCCCATACCGATAAACTATTCATCCCAAAAGGATTATATCCATTGATAAGTTGTGAAGAGTTTAACCATAGGTAATCTCTTAACCATCCCATCAAATAAGTGGAGGATTCATTAAATTGTGAAACGTTGCCCTGCCATAATGTGATATGTTTCCAATGCCAATAAAAAGTAACCCACCCAATGGTATTTAACATCCAGAAAACTGCCAAATAAAATTTTTAAAAAAAGTTCATTGAACTTAAAAAAAGTTCATCTAATTTGAAAAAATTTCAGGGAATTTGGAAGAAAAGTTCATCGATTCTGCAAGAAGTTCACCAAAAATGAAAAAAGTTCATCAATTTTGCAAGAAGTTCACCGAATATGAAAAAAGTTCATCGATTTTGAAGAAAACTTCATCGAATTTTAAAGAAAGTTCATAAAATTGAAAAAAAGTTCGTCAATTTTGGAGAAAAACTCGCGAGTTTAAAAAAGAAAGAAAAAAAGAAAAGGGCAGAAAGAAAGAACAACTGAAAAAAAGAAAAAAAGAAACAAACGCGAGAACAAAAGACGGAAAGAGATTGAAATAATCGCGGAAGTTGAGTTGGCTATGTTGGTTAGCGCGACCTGTTCAGAATACCGCGGCGCAGGTTCGATCCCCACCTCATGCCCTTTTTTGCAGCAGTTCAGAAAAGGGAAAAAAAGAATGAAAATGGGCCAGCCAATGGCGGGGAGAGGGTGTGCGCCCGTTTGTGGAAATCGAAGAAACGGGCGCAACGGGCGCTGTTTAGGAATCGCCCGCTGAATAGGAGATCCCCCTAGACAGCGCTGCAGGCGTCCGTCCGCGCCCCTAGCGCTCGAAGACAACACGATTTGGGCCGTCCCATCAAATCAACCAAACAGAAAAAGCAAAACCGTGAAGGAAAAAGGTCACCTTTATAATGAACTAGAAAAAACGCCCGTGCGTTGCAATGGGGCCACATTAACTTTAAAAGTTCAATATCAATTATGTTAATATTACATTTAATATTCTCATACATATTAAGTGACATTGACGACCTTTTTACCATCAAATTCTCACACACACACACCCTCTCCCTCCCTCTTCCTCACTCTCTCTTCCCCTCTCCCTCACTCAGGAGGTGGGACGAAAATAAACCCGGAACGGAGACTACCAACTGAGACATTAGGAGTAGAGATCATTTAGTTGATAAGAATAAGTAGAAAACGGTGTTAACAAGGAGAAACAGATTAGAATACATTGAAAAACCAAAAGGACGATGTAAAAAGGGATTCACCCTACCCCCGGGCCTTGCCACCGAACGGGCTCAGCGGTCCAGTCCCCGCGCGGTCGTCTTGTCCTGTTCCCCGAGCCATGTCGCTACAAAGCCGGGCTCCCGCCCGACCACCTCGCTAGCATGGAAGGGGAATGGATAAGGGTGACGCCTTCCTTCCCTGCCCCCATGGCCTCACTCCTCCTCAATGCCCCTCCCAAATCCACTTCTCCTCCTTGCTCGCTCGATCCCATCGATCTAGACGAGGTCAGACGCCACGACCACCATGACCGACCCCGTCCACATGGCCACTGCCCTCCCTGCGGGCCAGGAGCTTGTCGAGGAGCTCCGAACGCCTTCGCTACTTCGTCTGCACCAACGAGATCAAGTCCAGCACCCCCACATCGATGTCGCTGCCGTCTTCCTCAACCTTGGGCCACCGTGACATTGCCGTTCGATCCGCGCCGCCCCGAGCTCCCATGTCTTCCCCTAGGGCGCCATTGACACCACCATGATCTCCTCTTGCCTTTCCCCCTGTTTCCCCTCTCGTTTGCTCTCGTTGGGTATTTCGCTGTGGCCGAGAACCACCGTCCGCCATGGCCATTGCAGGGGTAGGCACCGAACTCCTCGGATTGACCCCGTGGCATATGCCCGCTCCTATGCACGCCCATGCCTGAGCCTACCGCTCTTCTTCCGCGCTCGCGGGGCCACTCCCTCTCCATGTCCACGCCTGTGCTACACAGCATCGGTCGCACCCGCCGCTGCCGTCGCGCTCGCCGCAGCCACCGCACCACTATGCCCCGCGCGACACACATCCTGGTCGCGCGCCACACTCTCGCTGGCTGCGCTCGCCCCGTCTGCTGCCGCCTATCCCTTCGCCCGCCCCGCTGTCGCGCCCCTGCCTCGCGCCGCCTCCAGTCGTGGCCATCTTCTGTCGGCCGCCCCCTCGGCCACGCCAGCCGCATCTCTGCCCTCCACCGTCGGCCGCTCGCCTCGCCTGCTGCGTGTTGCTTCCTGCTGCTATGCGCTGCTCTACCGCTGGTAAGCTGCTGCGCCATGCCTTCGACACCGCCGTGGGCAAATGTGGCGGAGGGATTGTTATCAAGGAAAGGTAAAAATTTAGGAAAGTTAGGATTTTTGAACTGATTTCTATGCAAATGGGGTTTTATTGTTTGGTAACGTGATATCAGTACCCGCCCGTTTGTGACGTGTCTGATTAGGAAAGTTTGCAAATGTTAAGAAACTATTTATTGGGAGGAAAGTTGTGACGTGTGTGTTATTTGTTTCCTAAAACAAATTTCACTAATAAAAGAAATCGATTGATTTAGATAAGTTAGGAAAGTTAGATTAAAATGTATTGTTTGTTTCCTGAAAATCTGTTATTTATTTCCTAAGACAAATTGAACCAATAAAAGAAATCGATTGATTTGCATAATTTAAGGAAGTTAGATTAAAATGTATTATTTATTTTTTGAAAATCTGTTATTTGTTTCCTAAGACAAATTGAACCAATAAAAGGAATCGATTGATTTGCATAATTTAAGGAAGTTGGATTAAAATGTATTATTTGTTTCCTGAAAATCTATTATTTGTTTCCTAAGACAAATTGAACCAATAAAAGGAATCGATTGATTTGCATAATTTAAGGAAGTTAGATCCGTGATTTGTTATACGTTAGGAAAGTTCTGGTAGTAATAAAGAGTACAGAGAAAAATAAACCGATGGACCAGGGTGGGAGGGGGTTGTGAAAGGAGAGACGAGAAAAAAACAGCGAAAATAAACCGTGGACCAGGGTGGGAGGAAAGACGAAAAAAAATCAGCGAAAATAAACTGCGAAGACGATTCATCAACTCGTCCATTAGAAATAAAGATAATGAATAATGAAGAGAAGTGGGATTTGAACCCGAACGCCATTGTGAATGCCCACACGAGTTAACCACTAGACCAAGCTCGGTTTGTTAATTTCTACTGGAAACAGAGCTCTTTTTACCATTCAGTCAGTACTATTATATACCCACTATAATTATTTGAATAAAAGGAAACGTAATTTTGAAAAGGCATTCACGAAAACCACGAATTTAAAGAAATCAAATATTTTCAGAAAAGTTTGTACCATTGAAAAAAAATCACAAAAATGAAAAAAGTTCATGAATTTAAAATAAGTTCACCGAATTTGAAAAAAATTCATTAAATTTGTAAAACAGTTCATCGATTCTGAAAAAGTTCATTGATTTTGAAGAAAAAAATCATTGGTTTGGAGAAAAGTTCCATTGGTTTGGAGAAAAGGTTCATTTATTTTAAAAAAAGTTCATCGATTCTGAAAAAAAGTCGATCAAAATTTATCAAAAATTTATGAGAAAAAGGAAAAACTTAAAAAAAAGAGAAAAAGCAAAGCCGTTTGAAAAAGAGTAAGTAAGTAATCAAATAAAAAGAAGTTAAATCTGCACGTCCAAAGAGGTGGCTTGGTGGTTATCACGCCTGTGACAACTTTTGACAGCCCCAGAAACAAAAAATAAAGTGGTTGAGTATACCTTGAGGTTATCGAGCTCCCTGGACTTGGTTATTAGCAAAGATTGGACCGGGTCTTCTCATTATCTTTGTTGATGTTGGATTATTTACTTGACTAGCGGGTGTACATATGAATACATCGCGTCGCATAGTCATCCCGTAGTTGAGGACTAATTATTCTCCCCGATACAACTCTCTTCTCTCCTGCTAGCAGCAGCCGGTGAACCAATCGATTGCCTGACATCGATCTGTCCCATGTCAGGCCGACGGATTACATACGAGATGTAAGTTCTGACCCTTCTAGTTTTACATTAATCTCACGCGCATAAGTACACTTACTAGCTTCTTCTTGTTGTTGTTGTTGTTGTTGTTGTTGTTGTTGTTGTTGTTGTTGTTTAATCCACTTGATTTCGAGTAGTTAATCATTTTGGTTGTTGTTGTTTTGTAACCCAGTTCCAGTTAATCGTCTTGGTAATTAATGGCCAGAGGAGCAGAGGAGTTAGTGGTGTTTTGGAAAGAATGGGGGATCCAGGCACTGGTGCTGCTAAGCTTCACGCTGCAGGTGATTCTCCTCATCACGGCGGAGATCCGTCCGCTCATAGACTCCGGCATGCTCAGAGCCATCGTTTGGTTGGCGTACCAGCTCGCCGACACGACGGCCATATACGTTTTGGGCCACATGTCTGTGATCGGCAGTCAGAGTTTGCCTGAGCACCAGCTGATGGCGTTTTGGGCGCCGTTCCTGCTGCTTCACCTTGGTGGCCAGGACAACATCACCGCATACTCCATCGAAGACAACCGGCTGTGGATGCGACACCTCCAGATTTTTGCGGTGCAGGTGCTGGCAGCTGGCTATGTCCTCTATGAGTCCTCTCTTGTGCTCCATCAGACTTTGCTCCGTCAGGCTGCCATCCTGATGTTTGTGGTTGGTGTTGTCAAGTACGGGGAGAGAGTATGGGCGCTCAAGCGTGCTAGCAGTAGTAACCTATCGGGCAAGAATTATCAGAGTTTTGGCACTGTGCATATCAGAAATCGCGGTGTCTCTGTGATAATTTCAGGCCACAACTACGGAGTGATGCCGGCTCACCAGCTATTGTGTTTCCCTATGCATTTGTTGAAGGGACCGTTGCCTCTTGTAGCACTTGGAATGACAGTGCTGGAATATGAGTGGAGCTCATTATACCAGATGGCTGAGGTGCAGCTTTCGATCATGTACGACATCTTCTACAGTAAGGCCCCGGTGATCCACACCTGGTATGGGATTTGCATCCGTGTCATGTCGCCATTGGCCACTATCACCGCATTCATGTTGTTGCGTCGATTCAGCGACGAAGATGGTGACAAGTACAACGCAGTAGATGTCGCTGGCACCTATGTTTTGCTGGCTGGCGCCATCATCCTGGAGATCACATCATTGCTGCGAGCCATGTTCTCCAGCTGGGCACAAGCAGCTGTGTTAACAATTCAGCCTTTTCAAAGGTATGGTGGGAATAGTTGCGTTGGATTAGTTAAGAAGACATTTTGCAGCTATCTTCTGTATCTGGTTAGCTTGCCCCGGGCTCTCCTTAGTTATGCAATGTCAAATGCAGGACTGCCATTGCGGTATTGGTCGGGCTCCATGGGGCAGCACAACTTTATCCACCTGTGCACCGATAGCAGGGACAATCGGAGCAGCAAAATCGCAAGGTGGATGGGACGTGAGGACTTGTGGAACATGCTGGTTTACACTCAGTCCATTCCAGTTCCAGAAGATTTCAGCCATCTGCTTGACAGACAACTGCGGCGAAGCGTGAGCATCATCAAAGAGAGCCCAGATCACATCCAAAACTCACGGGGCCAGGCGGCACTGAAGAGGATGGGAATACCGCAAGAGGAACTAGTCAGCTGGAGCGTGGGCATCGAACTGGACGAGAGCATCCTCGTGTGGCACATCGCCACTCATGTCTACCTTAGTTGGCACGATGAGAGATACCCGCCCCGGCCAGCTCTTGCTGACACGATTCAGGTGCTCTCCAACTACATGTTTTTCCTGCTCGCCGCACGCCCACACATGCTGCCCAACAATGCTAGTCGCCAGAGGTATATCGAATTGTGCAATAAGGTGGTAAACTGTCTCAAGTATAGCTCAGCAGAAGATCTGGTCAGTTTAATACGGGAGCGTGGGAAAGCACTTGATACTCCTGAGATTGCTCAGACACTGGAACATGATCCATCTCGGTCTAGCTGTTCGGCTGAGGAGACTAATGGGGCATTGCAAGAGAACTTAACATTTGACAGAGCATCTCAGCTTGGCGAAAAGCTGATAGACATGACGTTAGATACACCTGCTACAAGTGCTGACATGTTGGACCTCATCTCTCAAGTGTGGATGGAGATGCTGTGCTACGTGAGCTACAGGTGCACACCAGATTCCCATGCCAGACAACTCAGCAACGGCGGAGAGATCACGACCGTCGTTGCTATTCTCATGGAATACATGAAATCGGATATCTTTGACTCCAAACGTGTTGGACTCACAGCATCCGATCGTCCATAGGGTATGACAGATGAAGATCTGGAGCTTTGCATCGCACGCAGATGGCACATGCTGATCAGACCAGTGTTTTATTTTCACATCTATGTGCATGTAGTCATGTACTACCTATTTGTTCAAGAGTTTCTTTTTCACAATACATTGTACTACTACTAGCACAATGATCCACACATGTGTGGGCAACATCTTGTATTGGATATGAATTTGTAACGATTTAAATAAATGTCACGTGCCACTTTGTTCCTTTGTGTAAGTAGCAACATCTTGTATTGGATATAGGGAATGGCTATCCTAAGATTCTAAAAATACATATTCGACTTTGTATCAAATAATGAAGCAGTATATCAGAGATCAATTTCTGCAAGGTACATTTCGTAATATGTATATGTAATTATATAAGAAATGACATGCACATTCAGTTTTCCTGTCAACATGAGAGGATAATTATAGCAAGGCAAGTTCAGTAATACTATGATTTTTTTTTAAAAAAAAGAGTGGCACGCACATGTAAAGTTTGTTTGCTTGTAAAGTTCTGGAGGCACCAACTCAGAATAAGATGACTGCAAGAGAAAACCTTCAGCGGAAGGCAGAGTCAGAAACTGTATGTATGCGGAATAGATAAGCTAGGGAAGCGAAAATAAGGGGTTGTGAAATTAAGCTATCTTTAAGCTTTTCCCTAAAAAAATAAGCTATGATTTAAATTTGGAACAGCTTATAGTTATTTTGACCATACGCTGGTACCAAAGTTGTTCCAAACCCTGCCTACTCATCTTTAACTCCTGTGAGTTTCCAGATGTTGTGCAAATGGGTACCTCTGCACCATTATAGGGATGAAAACGGAGCGGAAACGGACGGAACTGAGTGCTATCATATTTGTTTTCATATTTTTTTGCAGAAGCGGAAATGAATACAGAAACCCCGGAAATGAATACGGAAACAGATACTACCAAAAACAGACACGGAGCGAATACAAAGCGGATACGGAAACAGAAATAGACATTGATCGGAACTTAAAAACCCCTTGAATCATAGAGAAATACACACAAAAATAAACAAATTTAATGAGTTGCTAACATGGCTACAAAATAGTATCATTATGTTAGCAACTTAGTGTAGTATTGTAGTAGTATCGGACAATTGCGTATAGGGTCAAGCTGAGTACATGTGTGGTAGTAGAAGTTGGGCCTTAGATCCATTCTACTAATTGTGCCATTGTGTTCTCTTTGGTGGTTGGGCTGCAAAGCAGCTATAGGTCTATAGTAAAAACAGAAATTCCATATTCACGGAAACGGAAAGTTCCATTTCCATGCATGTTCCATCGGAAAACACCGTTCCGTTTTTGTTTCCGTTTCCGCATAAATAATTCCATTTCCGCTTCCGTTTTGCAAATTTCCGTTTTCGTTTTCATATTTCCTCCCCGTTTCCATTTTTCCTCCGGAAAAACAGAAAATTTCCGCTCCATTTTCATCCCTATGCACCAAGCATATGAGAAAATCCAGTGGTTCTGACTATCCTTTGCTTCAGCCCCAAGCGCCGATTCATGACAAAGATCAGAAAGATATGCATTTAGCCAGAGGGTGGTATCCCAGTTCCATCTTGGAATGCAAGAATTAAACAGATTCATGCGAAATCTCCCCAACATGAATTGATCGTCAACCATTTGAAAAGTGTGCACAAATCTAACACAACAACACATACTTGCAAAAACACCAAACGCTGTTTGCCAACCAAACAGAAATAATAACAGAGAAAGGAAATATATGGCAGAAGAAGCATAGTTTATTAGTAATGCAGGCTAGGATATTGTCGGTACATTCTCATCGCTCCTCAATGGTCTCACTGGAAAGATTAAGCAAACAATCAGCTAGAGCTGTTAAAAAAAGCTAATAGAGATATTACAGAAGTTTCTGGCTGTCCAACATAACCAACTTGGGCATCGCTACAGTGGTGCAGCCATTTGGTCTGAAGCTGGTGGGGTTGAGCCCAAGCATGGTACAATTTCAGTCCCTATCTTCCCTTGCGGGCGAGCGGCTGCAGTGTAACAGTTTTAGCAAAACATGAGAAGGCATTTTCAGCATACTAACCTGCGGCGCCTGTCAGAAATTTATAAAACTGAAACTAAGACTATGCTAGATAAATACATTTCAGAATATTTGCATCACTTTGATACCTTTTAGGCTTTTACTACGCAAATTCTGCATCTTACAGAAAATGGAATCAATTGCTTTCAGAAATTAGCTCAAAATTGCCCAATGAAACCTTTAAGATTACCTCTAGAATTTTCAAACCAAATTATGAGAATCCAGAAATATAAGAACTATCATAAACATGAACATTACCCGGATAAAAATGCGGTAAGGTTTGAATATAAACAAATAAGCCAGTCCCACTTTCAACCAAACTGATAATTATTTCACAAATCTAATTTCATGGGGCAAAAAGGATCATGGGACATATCCAAACCGAGTTACCAAAAGAGATTGTTACATCGCTTAAGCTGTTATTCCCAATAGGCTTCTGTAATGCCTAGACCAACATGGGACAGATCAGCAGCAGCAGAGCCTAGCCTTCGTACTCCCTGAAAGAAAGTACATTTCAAAGAAGGATAAAGGAAAGAACATAAAGGAGAAAAGCATGTGAACACACAGTGATACCGTTTTAATCACAGGAAGATTCACTTACCCTAGTAACGTCTCAGTAAATTCCTTGAACAAATTTATATTGGCTCATATCTGCTGCATGAACAATCTGTATTACATACATTACGACTGCTTCCTGAAATACTTAAATGAACAGGTACATTGGGTCTACGGTCACTGGAATATTTTCATGGCAGGCACACACAGGTGTGCTCATATTGTTCTTGTACAGTTGTACACGAGAAAATAGGCTACCTTGTCTGTTGACCAGACATGAACTTTTTGCCCATTACAATAAGCACCTTTGCCTGTTCAAGGAGCAAACAAAACATTGAAAACTATTTTAATAGTTAGAACCAGAACAAGGAAGGACGCCAATTGCTGATCAAAGATCCTACCGGAAGATGCAGGAACTGTAAGAGTGCTCCAGCACAAAGGCCCACCATAAAATTCCACCTAAATGAGATGGAAATAATGTGTGAGTAATATACAGAGAGAAACTATTTCCAAGACCAATAATTTCTGTCTCCAATATTCCATAAACTTATGGTTTGAGAATGATAGAACCAGGAGTCCCGGTCTGAAGCGTTAGGTGTGCTGAAAGAGTTGGCTAGAACAATGTCAAACTGTAACTAGTAAATTTCATTGTTTTCCTTTTCCATGAGTTCAGTACCATTATTTTCTCGCCCAGCTGTTAGAAAAGCATTGCATTCTAATTAAGATCCAAATACGTACTACACTCATTAGTTATCAGACAGCAAAGGATCCCAAGTGCATGAGCCAGCAGTAGGATCAAAGATAGCAGCTAAAGGGTATTAATTACTGCTTACAACACAGGAAATCACAAGCAGGCACATGCTGAATAATAAAACATCTAAATTCAGATTGAACAGACATCTAGATTCAGTTAATGATGACAATACACCTCCCCAATGTATACTAACATACGTAACCAGATCATTATAAGCCATAACTACATCGACCATCAGCCAACGCAACAAGGTCTTGAACCTTGGTACAAGCTACAAAAACATGTATCCTATCCTTGGGGTAAACGGCGATTGCATGTATCTTGTCCATGGGGTAGCGAAAACACAGACAATACGAAGCTGGTCAGCTTCAGAATAGATATGGGGTGGCAAATGGTGATTGCATCATCCACTCGGTTGGAACCGCCGGTGAGCTTTGAGCAGAGTCATACCAGCTGACTGAGGCCGCTTCATCATCCGTGCTCTCGCCTCCTGTCCAAGAATCGCAAATTCCAGCATACGGGGCACACGACAGGAAGCTGAAATTTAGCATTGCTGTCTGGCTCTGCAAGTCAGTTGGCAGTGGTTCGATGATGGGCACCGACAAGTCAAATTGATCAGAATTGTGAAAAAGGGGTGTGACTGAACCACCATGGAGGACGGTGCCGTAGTTGCTCACCATGGAACCGGCATGGTCGGGCATGCAGAAGCTGTAGTTGACCACTGGTTCAGGGACAGGCATCAACAAGTCACCCAGAAAGACTTGATCAGAATTCTCATTGGCCATGGAGAAGCTGCAATTGACATCTGATTCAGGTAAAGGCATCAAGAAGTCACCCAAGACTTGATCAGGCGTGAGGCCGGACATGAGATCATCAAGAAGCTGGTCCACTGAGACGCCATCCGAGCAGTTGTTCAAGTCTGGCTGTGGCTCGACGGCCGGCAGCAGAATTGGTGCAGCAGGAGAAACAAGCAGCTGCCGCTTCACAGTCTTCACCGGAGCTGAGTCGTCTCCGGCCTTCCTCTTCCTCCCCCTCCTGTATGCCGGCGACGTCGGGACGGACGCAGATCGGGGCTTGCGCGGGCTCTGGTAGACCTTGCAAAGAACTGGAACTGTCTCACCTTTCTCTTCATCTCCTTGACGATCATGAGCCACACGGAACTCGACCATGAGCCACACGGCCTCCACGGATCCGTCGGAATGGATGGGCTTGTACCTGAAACTCTGCTTGTACCCGACGACGCGTCCCTCGCCGTCGAGGACGGCCGCCCTCCCCTTCTCGGCGTGCCACGTGCCCTCGCCGCCGCCGACGGCGCGGGACCTGCGCTTGTCGTGCCCGGACAGGGCCTTGGCGGAGCAGAAGAAGTACCAGCACCGCCGCTCGGCCCCGGTCTTGGGCGCCAGCGGGACCGCGGGCAGGAGGCCCGAGACGAGGGCGGCCGGATCTGCGCCGTACGCGTCGGCGGTGTGCAGGAACCTGGCGGCGGCCTCAGGGAGGGGCTCGCCCGCGATCATGGGGCGGAGGTAGAAGGAGATGAGGTCGGCGTCGGACGGGCTGAACCTGCAGCCCATGGGAAGGACGGGGGAGGAGGCCATGGGTCATCGAGATGGCGG